TTCATACTATATGTTATATAACTAACAAAATAGAAGCTTGTCCCCATTTTTTAAGAGGCTTTACAAAACTTTTACTTACTCATTAGAATTTTTGTAGCTAGATTTGGGGTTTTAAAGCAGAGCTGATGTGTAAACCCCTTTAAAATATCTTCGTGGGATGCGACGTGTGCCGAAAAACCGCATCAATGATCTCGCTGAGGGAGGAGCGACTTGATGGAAAGGTAGACTGACCGATTAAATAAACAAACGAGATAAGGGAGGGAGGGGAAAAGAGGAAATTCCTCTTCGCCCTTTTCCTGTTCGTGGCATCTTGCGCTGCGCAGCGTTAGCGACACCACCGGGAGCTGTGCGCATATTTTCTATTCGTGTAAGGAGCACCGGAGGCGGAGGTTTCTGAGCAGATCGACAGGCAGTGCGGGCTTCTCCGCCTAAAATGAAAGCGTTTTTATCCTGATGCACCGATGCGGGAGGAACTGCGACTCATGGGGTGCTGATTTACGTTTTGCATTTTTACAAACTCGGATGTGTTTTTGCACGATCCGAGAGGCCTCGCTTACACGGCATCTTTCTGCAGCTCTATTTTTTTTTTTTTTTTAATAACTGCTGCAGGCTGAGAAACGAGCTTTCAGTCCCCGCTGAGTGTTACATAACCGAGTGGCTTTAGCTGTCCAAGGTGCTGAACTGAGCGGTCGAACCTCAAAACGGGGCTACGAGCTGTGGGGGAATACACAACCTTGTGTGAGTCTAATGTCATAGCGCACGTCTTTATCGACTCGACCTACTGATTTTTTTTAGCGCAAAGATATAGTTCATCTGCTGTGTGTGTGTGTTTTTCCGCCCACACAGAAGGTCAAAGGCCTGGAAAGCGCTGGATCCCACCTTGGAGAACAGAAGTGGAAAATTGGTGAAGATTGATTATATTGCTCACATTTTTTTTTTTTTTACCCCACGCCATCCCTCGGGGAGAAATTAGTTTCTGCGGTGGTTGATTGAGCGGAGAGGGAAAATGTCGGGGCAGACGCTCACGGATCGCATTGCCGCTGCGCAGTACCAGCTAACGGGATCGGATATGGCCCGGGCTGTCTGCAAAGCCACCACTCACGAAGTGATGGCGCCCAAGAAGAAGCACCTGGAATGTAAGTGCAGTCCTTTTTTTCCCCCCCTCAAGCCCCTTTTCTATTTCTCACATTTCCTTTCAGCCAATAGGCTCCACGCCGCCTTTCACACAGTCCCAGACCACATGCCATCCACCGCCATTATGAACAGTTATTTTCTGGTTCCTTCATCTTAATTGGGTGTGGTGCCATAAGAAAATGATGTAGCCATGGTAATGACCCCTTTGGTGACCCTTTGTGCCTGTCTGAAGTGAGAATGATGGCCATCCAAGATCCAGTGTGGAGAAAGCAGGTTCTATTTTAAGATAGACAGACAAGTTCAATGAAATTCACTTTTTTGTGTGTGCAATAATTTAAAGCACTTCACACTTTTAAAACAGACTTGTAGAACGCAGTATCATAATACTTAGAGGAGAAATAAGGACTTTATTCTTCTTTTTTTTTTTTGTTCCATGAATTAACAGGTTTTCTTAAAATCAGAACAGTAACAGTTATCCGTATTGCCAAAATAGGATAAAGAGAAGTGGAACAAATTTCAAGGCTCCCAGTACAAACTGAAGCACACGACAGTGAAGCAGGAAATAGTGTTGGTAGACGCTCATGCTGTGCTCCATTTACCTCTGAAGTCAGAAGTTGGATCTGGGAATGACACTCGACCCAGTTTAACCATGTCCCAGATCCGAGATAAAAACACAGAGGGTTTTCCTTATCGATATTGACCGGGCAAAGGTTTGTTGGCAATACCAGCATCAATGCTTTTCTACATGTTGTGTTCTTTCAAACACTATGCAATATGTTCTTTAAGTACGTCTTTATATTTCTGTGTGAGTGAATGGTCACACGAACTAAAAGCATTCTGAAGAGCAGATACACCAATTTTTTTTTCTTTTTCCACTGTAGCTAGCATGCTAAGTAAGGCATGTTGCGTTTTGAGGATGGGGTTTCGGGAAACCCTCCATCTTCCCCAGCTTTCATTTGTTTAATTTAAAATTTTAGCTTATGGAAACAGAACCTATCAAGAAACAGCATCTTTCAATAAAGCTTTCCTAATGAATATGTTTTTTTCTTTTTATTTTATACTATGGCGATCGAGCTACATCAGCTGGCCAAACCTTCAGTCGGTTGCGCAGAATTGACATACTGCTTCTAGCTTGTCAACTTTAGTTTATCTCAATCAAAATTATTGGTGGTGCTCCTTTTGTTTCTACATTATGGCTTTCTCAACCTGTTTCCAAATAGATAAATGTAGATTTGTCTGGGGAAAGTGTAGGAGCATCATTTAGTCAACTGAGTAGGGCAGGAGAATGCTGCATGATTCGATGTGCCACACAACAGAGGAAACTCGGATTTTAGCTGTTTAAAAACTTGGTCCACCACAGTCAGCAATCAGCCACTGCTGATTAGAGGCTGTCCAAACAATTCACCTGTTAGTTTCTCAGTTTGTTTGGTCAATATAGAAATATAGCTGATGATTCATTTTTAAAAAATCACAGTTACGGTTTTATTGACACACATAGGTTTGAGAACAAGGACCGCCTTTAGACAAGTCATCATTAGTCACCATCATGACTCAAACTAAAGCCGCGGTGTGGCACTAAGAACAGATGACTTATGATCTTCTTATCTCCGTGTCCCTCTCCGTTTCTGTCTGTACCTTGTCAATGCCAGACAGCCCCTGGTTTTTCGCCTCATTCTGGGGCCTTACATCTTCTGATCCGCTCTCCTGCTGAATAATTTAATAATGAGCCAATGACTGCTCTGCATTATTTACGGAGCCAAAGGTGGCGAGGCCAAAGCTAGAAGGCACCAGAGACCAGCGCTTCCTCCTTCCTTGTTCTGTCACTGTGTGCTCTTATGTTTTCTTCTCCCTCTTTAGCTGTTCTCCAGTGCAGACTTTGTCATTTTAGCAGTTTACTGAGCTGTCTATGTTACACATCTGTTTTACTCTTCATCTCTCACATACAATGTCTAATTTAACTCCATCCCAAACACAAATGTTATGTTTTGTGTGTGTGTGTGTGTGTGTGTGTGTGTGTTTTCAAGCATTTAGTTTATTTTAAATCTATTTTAGTGCAACAGAGCAATCTTGAATGTAGGTCACTGTGCTCTTTATTGCAAATTTTGGTGAGGGTAACACACTCATCTCAAAGCACAGAAAAAAAGGGCCCTGTGGGAACAAAAGGGAGCTTCAAAGAAGCAGAAAACAGCATTGAAATAACTCACACAGACTCAAACCACTTTAGCCGACCCTCATTCATAGTATTCTATTTCCAGTGCAGAATGAAGTCAAATGGCGTTATTGCTTTCTGATATGCTCTACAGCCCTTGGAGTGGACATGCTAGAGACTGTGGCTACCATGGCAACTGATTGAGAGTTTCAGGGTGTGTCATGGTGATGACAGAGGCAGAACTCTCTCACAGATGGTGTTGGGCTTTGATACAGACACGCATGCACGCACGCACACACGCACGCACACACACACATACAAATTTGCTTTAATGGAACTATTACTGAATATTCAGATTTGTAGCACAGAAAACAAGTGATTTAAACATCATAAAAAATACAATAATAAAACTAGTATTGCTGAATGATTAAGGAGTTTCACATTCAGATCTGTGGTTAAAATATATCAAGGGAGCAGAAGGGCTTTAGGGTTTTGTGGAAAGAAAATCAAATCTCTTTGCACTGTTTTAAACAATGACTTCATTACAAAGATATATTAGGATGTGAGAGATACTGCACTGAATTACACAAATCATCTATTTTCTCATACCAAGGCATTTTGGATGTGTAAAAGGAGGGTTTATATTTCTTATAAATACCAGAGATGATGTCTCCACAAACAGGGCTAAAAACATAAAACTCATCATTCACCACTAATGTCAACAAATCTGACTTCCTCCAAAGTCGTGGTGCACACTTTAATTGTCCAAATTGACCAGTAAATATGACACAACACATTAAATTTCAGCCCACTTGCTTTGTTGAAGGAGACTAATGTTGGACTAACAGTTTAAATGCTGAATGGAAATCAATGTAAAGTAATAACGTTACATGACATTTAGCTTGTTGAAAGTCCGTCCAGAGCCGAGTGTTTTCCAGGTAAGTAAAATTATTGAACACATTTTCAATTTGAATTGATTTCCATTTGTCTCTGTCAAAATATTACCTAGATAATTTCAGAGAAAGTCTGTTATTTCATTTCATTTTCAGATAGTTTTTAGTAGTTAGCCATTTTTCCCACAGTTTAGTGTAAAATTTAGTTGGACCACTATTAAACAGATTGTGCGCAAAATTTTGAATATCAAGAATGAAAAGTTTTGTTTTGCATAGCTACAAAAATAACCTGATGCCTGATTATCATACCTAAAGAATTTACATTAGTAAGCATCATTTCTTTGACAGTCCTGGTGCTCTTGACCCCGCCTGATGGTTTGAGGAAGCCAAGCAGCTGCAGTTTGCTTATACTTTGGACCAGCTCAGCATCAACATTAGGTGTTATTTACTTTCTGGAACTTTCTGGCTACAACTGGAGCGATTTGTTGTGTAACATACCGCACAATTATCACAGCCAGTCTCAGACGCAGACACACACGTTCCCAGCATGAGACCTCACAGTTCATTCTTAGAACCCTTCTGTGGGCTGTGGATTACCGTAAGAGCCTTTATATAGCACTGCCAATCCTCATTACGCATGTGTGCATACACACACACACACACACACACGCGCGCACACACACACACACACACTGGTTTTGTGCCAGTGTGTGTTTGTGGCAGGTGATGAAACCACAACAGCAAGCATGGATTAGTGTGTGTGATATTGCCCATCAGGCAACATGTTTCACACCTGTTAGCGGATATGAAAGCAGATTCACCGTCGCAGTGAGGAAGAGTTGCATATCACATAAAATGGCTGTGTGATGCTGGATTCACAGTGCTTGTAGAGATACCAGACTTTCACCGTGTTTGTGATAATGTAATGTTACATAACATTTCACCAATGTAGATCATGTCTGGGAGTGTATATTAGAAAAAAGGCCACAAAACTGGTTAGAGGAAAGAGACAGAAATCAAACACTGAAGGATGTGAATGATCAGATGTGGAAGAAAAAGGGAATTACTAAAGAATGCAACAGTGTCGGTAAAGAAACCTTGTAAAAAAAAAAAAAAAAAAAAAAGATCTAACATTGCTGCTGTCTGCATCCCAACATGAAACATCATGCTTGATTAGGAGCATTGCCATCTGGTCAAAATGTTCAGAAGTATTGGAATCTAATTAGTTCCCCAAAGATCAGAAGGAGATCAGTGAGCATCAAAATAAAGCCAGATCAAATATTCACATTCCTTTTGATTCTGAGCGTTTCTTCTTGTATTGTTTGGTCCATTTCATGCTGAAATGATTGTCATGCTGAACATGTGCTGGTGCAGATTATGATTTTAGTTTTCACCCTTATCCGTCAAAGTCAGTGGATGGGGCTAACACTATAGCTAATATAGGTAATAACAGTATAGCTGGTCTGAAGTGGACTTGATGTGCAACTGTGCATGCAAACCATTAAAAGTAAGATTTTATCAGCTCAGTAAGCTGTTTTTCAGCTTCTGATGTGCAGACTTGTAGTGGGTTGTAAACACAGGCCAGAACAAACAAGGACATTAAAAGGTTTGAGGTCCATAAAATAATTACCTCAGGTAATGTCATGTGGTGACATCAGTACACAAGTTTCATTTAAAAGCAAATCCTACCACCTCTATATTTCAAAACACCTGATCTTGTAGTACGCAGCCTGAGGTGCGCACATTGCACCAAGTTTTGAAAGTCCAAATTTTTAGAGTTAAGGAAGAAGCAGAACTCATCCTACTTGTCAGCCAGGGAGCAGACATTAGCCAGGTATATGGAAGGAAAGGGTGAGGGGAGAACCCTGTTGCTGAAGCTTTACGAGGATGCCATCTGTTTACCTCGCCTGCATCTCCGGTAAATCCCCTTTGAGAGCCACTGAGCTGCCAACCAAGACCTCGGTGAAGCTGAAGTAGATAATGAATGGAGAAATAATGCAGAAGAGAGAGGGCTGTCTGATGTTTGGCAGTATCTCTATGGTAAAAGCGACCACAGAATGGTGGCAGAGAACAGCACGAACGCTCATAAATAAGCAAAGTACAATAATGCAAAGTACTGAGGCCGCCAGCTCGAGTACACTGCAGTCTTAAGTGCAGGATCAGCAAAAATAGAATTGGAACTAAGGGACATAAAATGTAGCAAGACAATTTCTCCCAAACCACAACACCACCAGCAAACTGAACAGCTGATGCAAAGAAGGAAGGATCGAGACTTTCGTGTTGTTTACGGCAAATTCTGGTCTGAATATTGAAGATGAAATCAAAACTATTTGGATCATGCAATGTTCTCTCAATATCTTACACACTTTTAATTTACTATCCATTGACACTAGTGAAGGTAGGTGCTGTAAATAATACTTTATTTTTGTTTTGCCAAATGTTATGGTGAGGTTTCAGATGATATATAGTAGACAGTTTTCATTCAGAGATAACAAAACGTCAGACATACCAATGAAAGCAGAAGCTTATGCCTGAAATAATACATTTTAGATAAGCTACATATTGTTAATGTACTGCTTCTTGTATTGATCTCTAAAAAGGCAAGTTAACACTACGCATACTCATACAGAGAGCAAATCTGCAGACATTGACAGACGTCGCCACTAATGGAAGGAGAGGAAGGTTGTTTCACTTATTGGGTCTGAAATACTTGAACACCCTGCACTCAAAGGTATGCCAGAATAAAAATACTCCAAGGTTACAAGTGAAGGACAACAGGACTTTTCTAAGAGAAAAGAAAAAAAAGATAGCTAGACAACAAGTGTGGGAAATGGGCTAAGAGGAGTTAGAGCATTGAAGCTTTTTGTGTTTGGCAGCAGGCTGTAGAGAAATGGGGGCCGGGTTTCAAGGGTTGAATGTAAACAGATTATTACTAATCACTGATTCTGCAGGGAATGTTTTGAATCCCACCCCCATGACAGCAGACACAGAAAACAGAAACAGTTCACAATGTGTACCAAGTATGTAATATACATCGTTAAAAAATTACTTATACCTGTTATAATTAAAATAAAATACAATCATGAACTAAGATAAATAAATTCATGTAAAAAGCCCCGAAATATCAATGCTACTTAACCAAATAGAATTGAATAACTTCATGTAAAATGTATTATTTTTCAATTTTTGTGTTGAATCACTTCATGGGGACGTTGCTGAAGTACAGTGTGCAATAATTTAAGCATTTGTATATTTATTTTGATATTTAAGATTTTTCACATTTTATTTTAATTAAGTGATGAACCATTTACATATCATCATAGTTTTGAAGCAAATCAGGAATTTATTTGATGTCAACCTTTCACATCAAAACATGTAGACATGGTTAATATTAGCATGAAGATGTGCATGAATAGTGACCAAAGCAGCCCAGGAAAGTTAAAATTGATTAATTCTGAAATAACTACATGTACATTTAAAAATAAAACATGACCAACATCAGCTTTGAGGCTTTTAGGTTTTGTATTTATTATGTAATTAACAAATTAGCTTCATCATAAAATGATGATTAAATAGAAACATTACTAAAAATGTTATTTATCCTCTTTTTTTTAATGCATTACGACTTTTTCATCCATTTTTTTTCTGGATTCTGGTCTGCATGACTTGTTTATTCTAACCACAGTTACATGTCTACATTTATGTTTTTTTCCTTGACATTTTGTATCTAATTAGGTATGCATTCAGTAATCCAGCCCCTTCACTTTGGCTACTTCTCTGTCTGATTTAGAGTCTGATGTGACAACCAGAGGCAGAGGACATGACACAACATTTTTTTTTTTTTCCTCTTCAGTGTCATTGCGTTTGTGAGAATCTGGCCACATGCTACCTCTTTGCTCATCAGGTCTTCCTCCAGGCTTAAAACTCTCTTGAGTGTCCAGAGAGGCTCTGCAGTGAAGAACATTAATTAAGTTTAACTAAAGTACTTTAATCAAATAATATCTTTGTTTTAGGCTACATACCTATACTCTCATGCTTAATGTCATGAGAAAAGCTGAAGCTAAAAGACAAAAAAATGGGAATTTTGTTATGTTTTTTAAGAAAAAAAAATCTCACCTTTTCATCCTTGCGGTTGTGCTGCAGACCTGGTGTCAGCCACCAACACCACCAATGTAAACATCCCTCAGATGGCTGACACGCTGTTTGAGCGATCCACCAACGCCAGCTGGGTGGTCGTCTTCAAGGCTCTCGTCACCACTCATCACATATGCGTCCATGGCAACGAGGTCAGTGGGTGTCATTTCGAGCACATCTTTAGCTGTGGATGTGGGCTACTTGTGTCTCATAAGAAGGTGTAACATTACAGCCAGATAAGGAGATGAGATGATAGAACATGAACAGCAGAAGGCGTTAGCAATATTTTGTAAAAACGATGGATTTTACCCGATATGACTCTACAGATTTCCAACTGTAGTTTGACTAAGCTAAAGACTAGCTTAGTCTAACTAAGCTAGTCTTAGTTTGACTATTGGTGCTTCCTGTTTTAGCACCAATAGGAAGCTTTGAAGCAGATGCTAACTTTAGCAACAGCAGAGGCTAATAACTCACCAGATGGCATTTTCTTCAAATTGCTTACAAATCTGTATCCACGTCACCATTTCTTTTAGCTTGCAAAACTACTTCCGGATAAACAAAGTTAACTGTTTCCTGTTTTACTTCAAAATAAGAGTCTCAAATGTAGATACAACACGGTGTGGAGCTCAAGGCTTTCCAGGCCTACACTACTTTTTTCACATTTGAGACTTAGAACAACGGGAGAAATCACACTGAGACAATAACAAAATAGGCCTTTATGATACAAATTTCACAAGGAATATTGTGACGTTTTAATAGTTCAGGATCTCATGGCACAATAAGCTTTATATATATATTGCAAAGCTAAAGGCTTGTGAACGTTTAAGAAATGAATGAATGAATGTATTGGATGCTCGATTGTAATATGACTTCTATTTTGCCGTCTATGTCTTTTGCAGAGGTTCATTCAGTATTTGGCTTCCAGGACCTCCTTGTTCAACCTCAGTAATTTCATTGACAAAACAGGCTCTCATGGTAAGACCAATAAACTACAAAACCACAAAGCATACCTAAGCCGTACTCTAAAAAATGCTGAGTATTTGTTCAGTTTTCCCTTATGAAGATTTTTGTTCAGGTTAGTGTAAAGGGGGCATCTGAAATAAGGCCGGAACATTTAAATAGAAGCGTGTAACTGAGATTATTATTCATTTGGGATGTCCAAGACGTTTTTTCGACAATGCCAATTTGGGTCATTTAAGATGAAGTGCTTGCCGATATCAAGGCTCAGGCCCAAAATCCTTCAAAAGTTTGTCCTAATTGGAGTTTCTGCAAAAACAGTCCCCGATATTGTACTACAAGAAGAGATTAACCAGGTTTAAAAAGTTACTTCAGTTTTTTGATAATGCATCAAGATGCATATTGCTGTTTTTTTTTTGGTTTTTTTTAAGAAGATCTGTTTCCACACATGCAGCTACGTTTCTTCAGGAATTCAGCTCACATGTTTCCCTGTTGACAATGTTTTCATGTGAATCATTTTATTGGAGGGCAAGGCCCGTTTGCTTTCCATGTAATTTGATTTGTAAACACATTTAATAATAACTTAGTATTTGCTCTAAGTGTTGTAAAATACAGTAATTAGTATTTCAACTCTCACCCACACAGATAGCTTCATGAGCACGGGTCACATGACACAGAAGAAGGGAGGCAGCCAACACATTGTTTTGTCCATTGTGAAATCACAGAAATGGTTGGAAATCATGCAGATTGAGAGAACAACCTCTGATTCGTTATAACAAAAAAATAATAAAATAGGCCCTTTGTCATGATTTGTGGTAGTTGTGGTATGGAACTAAATGCAGAGAGGCAGCAACTGAGTTTGATGATTTAATAAATATCTCAAATGAGTAGAAAAGTCCAGGCAGCACAGGTGAGCAAAAGGCTAAGAGCTCAAACTCTGGTAGCAATTGGAAAACCTCACAAGACAACAACACGACGTACGACAGCTAAAACGAGGATCTGACGGGGAAACTCAGACACAGCTGAATATAAATGCAAGAGGAGCTAATCAGGGGAACAAGACACAGCTTTGCAAACTACTGACACAAAAATATGCATGCATGCATCTCCAGAAACATCACATCTTTCAATTGCATAGGATGGTAAGATATCTTAAGCAGTAGTTATATCTTAATTTCATTCAGTGCTGATAGGATGCTATTTGTTTAGCAGAAAAGTTAATGACGAGCAATTTTTACAAAGAATCAAAAAAGATGTTTTCTCAAAAAAAAACCTTTTCTGTTCCTTCTCATTTGCATATCTGTGTAGGCTATGACATGTCTACATTCATCAGGCGGTATGCACGATACCTGAATGAGAAAGCCTTCGCCTACCGCCAAATGGCTTTTGACTTCACCAGGGTGAAGAAAGGGTACGTTGAAGCAAAACCTCAAACTCCACAACAGATAACATCCCCCAGTTTTGTAGTCATTTCAGTTGAAACAACAGTGGTACAGCTTTGCATCTAGTACTGCGGTTCTACTTTATTATCTAGGCTGTTGCTCAGTATAGGGCAGCCATGTTGGATTTTGAGGTAGGTGCTAGGGATAGGCCTCTCTCACTTGGGATTCTGACTTTGGGGTACTGCCTGTTTATTTGCTCAGCGTGGAATTTGGGAATTTAGATTCTAAGTGAGAGTTGAGTAATAAAAACATGTTTTTTTTTCTGTTGTGTGTCTTTACAAAGAAATAAAAAGTGGCACATATTAATTGTTTGGCATTTCTTTGAGTATAGGGGTGCTCAGAAAGTTTTTTTTTTTTTTTTTTATTTACTGAAGAGGTGCTTATTATTAAAAGGTTCCAGCACAGCTCTGCTTTATGCTAAATAATGTTTGCTGTGTCTTCTCAGTGCCGAGGGAGTGATGAGAACCATGACCACCGAGAAGCTACTGAAAGGCATGCCTGTTCTGCAGACTCAGATCGACACACTCTTGGAGTTTGACGTGTGTATTTATATTTTGTTAGTCAAACCTGCCGTGTGTCCTACAAAGCTTTCACTTTATTGATCTGGACTTGCCTCGTTTCAGGTTCATCCGAAGGAGCTGAACAACGGGATCATCAATGCTGCCTTCATGCTTCTCTTCAAAGATCTGGTGAAGCTGTTTGCATCCTATAACGACGGAATCATCAACCTGTTAGGTCAGTATTGAGTGAATAATGAAGACATTGTTTAGTAAGAACATTTCTAAATGAATTTGTGACGCTCGCCTTTGGTTCCAGAAAAGTTCTTCAAGATGAAAAAAAGCGATTGTAAGGAGGCCTTGGAGATTTATAAGAGGTTCCTGACCAGGGTGACGAAAATTGGGGAGTTCATGAAGTTGGCTGAGGTGAGTTCAAACTATCCTCTACATCATCACTTTCATACTGACATTAATTTGGGCTTTTGGATCTTATTATGTCTTTGCTTTCACAGACAGTCGGAGTGGACAAAAACGACATTCCTGACATCAACTATGTGAGTTACTTTTTATAAAAAAGTCATGCTTTTTGGGTAATTTATTACTTTACTGCTTGGAAGGATGACGATCAAGAACTTTCCGCACATGAATGCCCTCATTCCTGATTTACACCCTCACACAAACACAACCAGACGCCTGTGCCTCACCCCACTATCTCCCCACCCAGTGTCTCCACCCAGGGGTGGTGGTGGATCTAGCTGATTCAGATGACGAAGACTGCCCCTTTACACCCCTTGAGGACCCGGTAACCACAGAAACTAAAGGGTGCCCTGGCTGAGTGCCTGTTTAAGTGCAGGATGAAGTGTCAGCATGTCGATCCTAATTTGATTTCACTTCACAAATGTTTGTTAACACGTTCATATAAACGCATGTATTGCAGTGAGGCTCTGCAGGAGCTTTGTGTTTCATACACTAGTGGATGCTCTTCAGTAGTTAGGTTATAAAGGGGCACTCATCAGTAATTCCAGTTTTGATTTCTTTTGTCAGGCTCCCAGCAGTATCCTGGAGTCTCTGGAAACACACATGAACGGTCTGGAGGACGTAAAAGGTGGAAAGAAAGGGTAAGGCTTTGCTACACAAACGTCTTGATCGGAAGAACTTATAGAGCGCAAAATCCAAAGTTTATAGTTAAAGTCTTTTAAACTTCCCCCTACTTTTTGTTTCTTTGCCATAACTGGACTCCCTATTTTTCAAATACTGATTAAAGCAGATCAACATTAAAAACCCAGAAGGAGCAGTGATATTTGAATATAATTTAGTAGCTAGACCAGTGATTGGGAATGTTAGTTGACTGACGATGGAAGAAGCAGGCATATTTAGAATTGACACCAGTGTAATAAAAGGAACATTTCTTTTGCTTCCTTTAACTTCTGTTCTTTTTTGTTCTCTGTTGTGTTGATTTGGGAACACCAGTGAAGGGTGAGCACATGTTGTTTTTGTCTGAAGCTTAACAGTTCCTTAAAGACTATCTACATGCATTTACTGTTTTCAACCCACCAAAGAGGTTCATGTTCACATTCTTCTCATGTGAATTATGTTGCTATATAATGTCTTATTAGACCCTAATGCAACTTAAGCTTGTTTTAAACGTCCTTAGCCAGTAAACACCAAGACAAAAATCACTAATTTATAGAAAAAGCATAAGCTGTGTTCTATCAAGTGTTTTTTTTTTTTTGTTGTTTTTAGTGTTTGAAAAGCTTTCTATAAAATTCCCTGACATTAGATAGCTTTTTCTTGTTTTACTTTTAAGTTTTTAAAAAAAATTATATTAAGAGGTGAATTCCCACAACTTACTTCACATGTGGAAATGTGTGTCGTGGTGCTGTGATTATATGTGCAATCTTTGAGGAAAGATCGCACATGTTTAAATAAGACATGTGTCTTGAGGAAGACACATGTTTAAATAAGTTGTAAGCCACCTGTACTTCCATATGAAATGTGAATCGATGTGTGAAGAGCATGGTTTTCCTAAGTGAATTTGGCTAAAAGGAAAAAAAGTAAATAAATAACACTTTGACCACGTTTGTTGTTAAAGTTGCATTTAAGACACAGCTTTTCACTTTGGAAATAAACTCTTCATAGGATCACATCTTGGGTATTATTATTGATTTCCTGAGGGAAAAAAAAAAAAACTCCATCCCTCCGTTTGTTTCAAGTAGAACTTTTTCGTTTAAACAAAATTCTCACAATTGCTCTCTTTCTTCCTCACTTTCAGGTCTCCAACAAAGGTGAGAAATGAATTTAAATCAGTCCTTTGTATTTTCCTTTTTGCTTTGCTCTTTCAGTCAGACGCGCCAACTTGAAGGTTTTTCTTTTCCTACATTTTATTCAGGGGTCTCCAACAAACAACGTGTCTCCAACATCGACTCCAGCCAAATCTTCAAACGCCGTTCCTACGCTGCAGCCGCCCCCCGGGGATGGAGCCGCCGCTGCCGCCGCCGCCGCCGCCGCTGCACCTGAGCCAGCTGAAGAGTGAGTTCACTGCTATTTGTTCTCATTCGCTCTCCTGTAGTTCAATTTTATTTGACTTCAGCTGATGTTGTTCTGAACTATGATTAGGACAGACAACCTAGACAGCTTACTGCAGTTATTAAAAAGTTGATGAACAAAATGGCATGCTTCATAGTTTAATGATGTTATGGATTCTTCAGAAAAAGAGCAGCTGATGTCATTGATGTGATTGATATTTGAAGAACAGAACGGTTGTTCTAGAGGATGTGGTGCCTGAAATCGTGTCAGCCATGGTTCCCATCATCACTTTGCATTAAAAAGGCTTCATGGGTGGAATGTTGCTGATAACAAGGCCAAACTCAAATCAATTATTTATCAAGTGATCGAGAACTTCAAGGTGAGAGGTTTAGTCGCTGAGAAGACAGAGCACTTAGGAAGTTCATCCAATGCCAGATCGTTCACTTTGAAGGGAATTCAAAGAAAGAAGGAGGGTGAACAAAAACGCAGAGCTTACTCAGGATTGGCAGCAGGCAGCTCTGCCTGCCGCTAAACGAAATGTTTCATGAGGATTCCTCTTCTCTACTTACAGGTTTTCCTAAAAACCCTCTTATTACTGGATGTGACATTTTTATTTCTTGGTTTATTTCAGGTTTAAATGTAGGTCACATGTGTATGCAATGTTGTCTTAATAAAGTATGAAAATAAGATCCAGTATAAACTAATGATCCTGATGTTTGTGCTATTCTTTAGTTCTTTGCTGGACTTGGATCCTCTGGCCTCCACTGGCCCCACAGCGCCATCAGCTGCACCAACATCTTGGGGAGGTAAGAAGCTCCGTCCGGTCAAATCACCTCCTACAACTGGACTGAATGTGCTAATATTTGGACACATAACACAAATATTGAAATATGTAATCGGTGTGTCTCGGTAAAACTTCAAAATGGTCAGCTTCTCAGCAGTTGCCGATAAAGAAATGTATGAAAGCTCCAAGAAATAATTTTGGAATCTCAGTTAGGAACCTTTCACAATAAATCCAGTCTAATGAAATATATGTTTTCTCCTATGATGCGCTCCATAGATCTGCTTGGATCAGGTGAGTGTCACGTCCCTCTGTGTTTAACCTCCAACATCTTATCAAGGATAGTGTAGCAGTAGACTATCTTGACGTTACCAACTTTTATTCCTTGCAAGCGCTAATATAGAGTCAAAGTGACATTGACTCTATAATGCCGATTGAGTCTAAAATTAATATTAAACTAGACTTTAGCTTAGTACTATTGTCACATGGTTACCTCCCTGTTTGTCTCCTGTTCTCTTTAGTCTGAGTACTCTCTTTGTTTCTCTTTACCTCTTCTCTCTTCTCCCTCCACATACTCCATTGTCTGTTTTTGGTTTAAAATGGGGGCTACTTTTATTATTTGGCAATTTATTTATTTATTTATTTTTTTTTTTTTACTTACGTATTGAATCTAAATTAAATAAAATGGTTTAATTTAATTGGAACTTTGCTTTTTTTTTTCTTTCTTCTGTCACTTTGGTGACTCCTCTGGTCATTTTGGTTGCTCCCTCTGGGTTTCTTTTACTGCCTTTTTTGGGGGGGCGGGGGATATTTGAAACACATCTACCCCACTGGCAGAAATGGGCGATTCCTTGCTATCTGAACCCCCACTCGCCGCAGAGGCCGCCCCCTCCCCTGCAGCAGCGGCGCCCACTCCTGCAGCGGCAGAACCTGGCGTCTCTCTAGCTCCTCCCACTAGCACAGCAGCCGCCACTTCCCCTGGTGCCGCCAATATGGATCTGTTGGGAGGTCAGTGGGCTTCCAGAACATTCTCTGCAAAGGAATACCTCTGGGAAGCTCAACCCCGAAACCCATCTCACAGCACAAAAACACACAAACACAGACACATTCTCAATCGCATTAAGCATGCACAGTGAAAGTATTTGCCCTCTTTCAGATTTTTTTCAGGGGATTTTTTTATACCTTTTTTTGTTGTTGTTCAACTTAAATGTTTACAGAAATCAAATTCATTTTAATATTAAACAAAAAACAATGTCTGATAAAACTTTAATTGTAGTTCTTAAATTATGATTTCATTTATTAGGGGGAAAAAAAGCGATCCAAGTTATTCTGGCTTTGTGCTAAACTGGTTGTCATCAAACAGCTGTTGTCAGCAGTTGGAAGCTGTCAGTCACTATGATGAGTTTAAGAGCATTTTCCAGAGTTTCTCTTTCTCTTTTTGTGGAATCCTGAGCTTTGATCCTAACTGTGGTGCATTAGATGTTGTTACGGGTTCCTGTGTGACCTCCTGAATATCTTGGAGTCATTTTGATAAGTCTGGCCTCCCTGAAAATGATCACTTCTGTTTCAGTATTCTCTGCCTTTTATCACAAATATCTTTGCAACTTCTTTCAGACCGATAGATGTGTTTTCAATCTTTTCTTCAACTTGTTTTGATCAGGGTGTGATGCGCTGCTTTTTAAAATATTTTAGCTTATTTCTTGTAGACAGACAAGTTCTTAATATGACAAGTGTAGCAGTATTCAATCTCTGGTGCAGCTAGTGTCACTTTATGCAAAAAATCTTATTTATCATAGAAGATATATGATTTAACATTTTCCTTTATAAATTATCTCATATTTTGAAAACTACATTTCTTATTAATGTGTTTGATGATCTGAAACATTTAAATATAACAAAAAAAAATCTTTAAGGGGATAAATACTTTTTTTCACAGCACTGTAGGTCGAGAAAAAATATTTGCACGATACAAACAAACCATCCAAGCCGTCACATCTATCCACACTGACGCACGTTCCTTCACTATAAGCTACTGTTTGAGGGGTTTTCTTATGTTTTACCTTATTTATTTTATGTAATTGCTTCTGAAAATGGTAATAAAAAAAGAAAGAAAGACAGAGTGAAGAAAAGAGACACAATTATAGACAGACAGAATTCAGAAAGGAAGAAAGAAAGAAAGAAAGAAACTTTACTGAATCAAGAAAAGATGAGATGGAGCTACATCGTTATAGTTGAAACAATTATATTAATTTGTTGCTCAAATGTAAGTGGGAAAAGTTGAACAAAAATAACACAGTTTTGTTTCTTTTTAATTATTACCTTGCACCAGCCTTCCTTCAGGAACACTTTACACACTTACAGCTGGCTTGCTTTTAAACATCCCTCCAGATTCATTGTCACATGCATCTTGTTTGATGAGCTGGCATGCTTTTCTTTTATGTCATTGGAAAGCGATGCCGTGAAAACCCTCCGATGTGGATGGACACAGCTATAAACGGCACCCGCAGCATTGCATAGATGGCTTATTCTGCTCTTTGTGCAGTAGATTAGTCTCTGTGTACTGCCTCCTGTCTGTGTATCCATTTATCCATTCACCTGTCGGTCACTGACGTTTTGTGCCTCTGCTTTTTTTTTTTTTTTTTTGTTTTTGCCCAATTTTTTTTTCTCAATGAAAAACCAGGACGTAATTTACCTTCTCATGCAAATGCTCTGTGTTATCTTTGTTTTCTCAATACTTTCTTTACCTCTAAGGATCTATTGATTTTTCCCCTTTTCTTCTTTCGCCTATACCTCCGTCATCTTGCCATCTGTTGGCATTTCTGTCCTTCGTCAGACGCCTTTGCTACACCTGCTGCTTCCTCTGAGGCCCCTGCTGCAGCAGCAGAGGGTGGGGCTGCTGCTTCGTCCACTCCAGCCACTAACTCTGGAGCTGGTGGGTGACTGTAAATCTGAGTCTGCATGTGTTGTGAATGAGCTGAAGTTGGTCTAAATACAGATAACCCAAACAATGTTTTTTTTTATTTTTTTTTTTATGTCTTGTTTGGAATCATAAGTTATATTTCATGAGGATGTCATTTTTTTAAATAATCCTGACATGTTTTATTATCTCCCTGTAGACTGAAAGCTTAATGCTTTATGGTGGTACATAAAGGTGGGATGTGCTTGTCATAAAACCTTTATTCTACAGCCGCTGTGCATATCTTAGCTAAAACCTGCACAGTAGTGTCATCTATCAGCCAGTAAAGCTATTGGCTTCGGTAGAGACTGAACACAGGCAGCTAGGAGAGAGATTGCAGAATGTCACGCTGTTTGGGTGTCGAGAGATATGTGGTTTTTGGTCTCCTGCATCTGGAGGACAACATTACTTCATCTATGAAAATAGCACTGGATTTCACTGCAGATGTTGTATGTATCGGAGCTGTCATACAGAAACCTAACATCTTTTAAAGAAACGAGAACATCTTTGCTTCTATGTATATTCACACAGGTTGGTAAACTTTACTGCCTTTTTTTCTACCTCTCGTCTTAAATGTGTAAACCTCCAGATAGAGGTGAAGGGTAATCGGCAAAGTTGATTTTCACAAGATGACAAAAAAAAAAATAAAAAATGGAGAGAAAATGTTTGGGCTTGACGGCAACAATGTCTGACAGGGTTATGTATTTGTTAATCAAGGACATCACTTGATTAAGACAAGGCGGATTGACAAGATAAGGCATGTCAATTGTGTTTTCTTAGAAGGTGTTCTGCACTATTTATTTGTTTGACACACAAAAGCACACTTACCTGGTTTTACACTTTTGCCTTATAAGAGGTTTATGTGCTGCGAAAGCAGTTACTGCCTTCTCCAGTTGTTTGCATTTTTCCCCCCCATCAGAGAATCTATTTTTAGCTGTTAATATTCACACTGACAGCTGGAGTGTGTTGGATATCTGCAGGTTTTCTTTTCCCTTTCATTCCTCACATACTTCCTTCTATCCCATACATTTCACTGCCATTACATGAGACATGCAGAGCAGTGCAAAGAATGTGAAAGTGCTACAGAATAAAAGCGTCATTGGTTATATATTATTAAGCGCAATCATGAATTACCCTAAACTTTCAATCAGTGTCATCGTCCTTATTTGATCTGCTTTGTATTAAGTTCGTTGTCTAACATTCCCTCTCCTTCTCCATAAATTCCTTAACCCCAAAGACCCTTTTGCTCCGTCGGATGGCAAAACCAACACTGCATCTTCAGGTCTAGATCTTTTTGGGATGATGACAGTGGAGAACAATAGCTCACTGGACGTCTGTTTTAGCTCTATGGAGACTCAGGCCTCCCCTTCCCCATCCCCTTCACCGCTCTTCACCTCCACATCCACCACCATCACCACCACTGCAACCATTTCAGGCTCCGACGTCAACAGCGCAGCAACGGACCTTTTCGGTGGTAAACATGAGGCATACAAGTGAATTTGTGTTTTTTTTTTAACATCTTCCTGCTCTGACTGGTCTGATGCTGCTCAGTTAAATCTGCCCTGTACTGTCTCGTTTTCCCTTATCTTTTGTGGGTTTTTCTGTGTTGGGAACTTATGAAAAGTTTACATACATTCAAAAGGAGCATGAGTGTCATATCATTTTTTTTTTTTTATATATATTTAAGACTGTCTTTAAACTGTTTTTTTAGGGTGGAAAGTTCATACAACTCCAGTTGAATTCAAAAACAAGAATTCAATACAAAGGACTTAAACTGTGTTGACTTTATCTAATTCACAAATGATCAAAGTTACACATAGCAGCACAAATTGATGCATAAACCCTCTATGGTTGCAAAGAAACAACATACTTTCTGTTGCGGATTACAAATTTCTGGCATAATTCTAGCTGAATGGCTTAGGAGTTACGGTTAAGTATAAGTAAAGTTTTCTCAGTTTTAAATGTCTCACATGGACCTCTCCTTGGATTCTTCAGTCATTGTGGCCAAATAGTTCAATCTTTTTCACATAAGACTTTTCTCCAGGCATCATATGGCAAAGCTGATACAAATTTTGGTCAAGCTTAAATGTTTTTATTTGATAAGGGATTTTTATTTTTTTTGTCACCCTCATTCCTGGACCATGACGATGATGTTAGAGTTGCTTCGCTGTGGACAGTGAAATGTTTCCAGTCATGGCAGGTTTAAGCCTTAGCTGGGCCTTGAACATCTTAAAATCTATTTCTTTCTCCTATGTCGAGGCTTAATCTAACCCTAAATTTAAGGAGAGCTTGTTTACAGCTTGTCTACAGTCTAATAGGTGGCCAGAATAAGGGAAGAATCTTAATGATGACAAAAAAAAATTGAAGTTAAAGTGTAACGTCCTAAAGAAAACATTCTGTGTGGATCAGTGAAAACTCTGCACCCAATTCTTGTTGCTGAAACGTATTAATGTGTGTTGTTTGATCATTCCACTATGAAAAAACAGTGATAGAAACAGATCAAAATGAATATGACCATCAAGCCCATTACGAGTGTCTTTGAACTGTTCATTCCTTCTTCTGTGTGTCTCTCCTCTGTCTGAGAGTCTCATCAACAGGTTAAGGAATTCTTCTTAAATTGTCTTTTCTCTGTTTTGTTTTGGTGCGTATGCTTTCATAGATATGTTTGACTCCATGCCAGACTCGAGCTTCTCCAAAACGGACCCCTTACCCAGCACTGACTTGTTTTCAGCAGGTATCCTTCTGCAACCTGGTTTTGCAACCTTGCGTGCGCCTTCCTATTCTCCCAAAAATCTCGTGCTGTCTTTGCTTCCAGCTTTGTCCTTGGCTTTATCAGGGAATAGAGAAAAAAGAAAAACACATGATATTGCTCTCTTACAGGTCAGCTACAGGCTACTCAGCTGTTTGAAGCGTTTACTTTTGTTTCTTACCTTTGTTTTTTTCTTTTTCCCCAATTCCAGCATGTACTGCGTGCACTGCAACTTCAACTGATAGTGCATTATAATAAATGAGAGTGATTGCTCAAAGTGCATTTGTGTGACTGCGTGTTGGGGTCTAAACATCATCTCCACCTTGCCTTCTCCAGCCGATTTGTTCAGCTCCTCTGCACCCATCCTCTCCTCTGCACCACCACCCAAAATTGACACAGGAGGCATCATGAGCTTGTTTGGTGGTGGGTAACATGAGTGACTGTCTGCCCTCAATCTGTCTCCATGACTCTTGAAAACACCATCAAAGAAGAGAAGGGTGTAATCTGGAAGGTTTCCCCTTCTGTGGTTATAGCTGCAGAATTTCCGTCTGTGGCCTGTGTTTGTCTGCCTCACATTTTCTACCTCTTCCAGTATCACATGCTCAACTTAGTTGAATGAGATTACAGAACATTTTGTTGCTATATAAATGAAACATAAGTTGAGATGTTTTAAATTGGGTGAGTGTGTGTTTTTGACTTGCGCTGTGGCACCGTTTTTAACTTCAACCGTTTTGTCTGAAATTAGCGGCGTTGACGCAGAAGGCTGACTATTACCCTTGTTTGCCCTCATGCTGCGCTGGAAATGGCTGAACGTGTTTTGGCCTGGCATGGCATGATGTGGTCATGTTTGGGATGACCTGCGACAGAGCCTACAGGAGGGGATGCCCCAGCTGCTGCTGCTGCTGCACCAGCTGCTGCTGCTGCTGCACCTGCTGCGGCTCCAGGTTCTGAGCTCATGTCAGGTAAATCGTCACGTGTTATGCACCAACCTGCAAGATATTACACACATTTCACAGGTTTTTATGCACAAAGTAGAATACATCTCTAATTCAATGTGCGATTTTACCAATGGCCTGGTCTTTACCATGGAGTTAAAGGAATTTTTAAAATGTGGCTCAGAGCTGTTTTTATGCATTTGAGTGTGGGTGTGTGTGTCATTTCCCTTTTTACCTGCAAGCATTTGTATCATCTTTGCATGATGCCTTGTCATTTTAAATCTAATATCCTCACATCACCCCAGAGAATTATTCTGATGCCATCCTTTCTGGAAGCTACACAGTGGCGTTTAACCTGTCAAATCTGATGCTTCACAGTATTTGTCACTGTTAATTTTGGTAACTGTTAAAGAAATAGTCCACCGTAATTCAATTTATCCCTTTGTGTTTTTTGGTCAAGACTCCATTTAGTTTTTTAAAAGTGTGTTTGATGATTTTCATATACATATGGCGCCTTGCAAAAGTCATGATTGGACTTTTTTCACATTTTGTCATGTCACAACCATAAAACTGTAGAGTACATTAATGGGATTGCGGGGTAAAAATTCACACTCCAGCAGCGAATTGATGATAAAGTTACAGCCAGACGTATAATGGAATGATTTAGATCAAAACTTTTTCAAGTGCTATCATGGCCTAGTCAAAGTCCAGACCAGTTTTTTTTAATTCTGTGGCAAGATATTCACGGACACATCAGATATTTTCTATAAACATTAGAGTTGGCTTTGTTGATTTACACCAAACTGCCTGATCTAAAAAAATGGCCTAAGCTTCAACTAAAAATAAAATAATTGTAAGGTTCATCAAAATATTTGCAAACTACACAAAACTATTACAAATATAAAACGATACTCAAAGACTTTTGTCATTAAACAATCAAGATGTACAGGTTGGGCACTGACAGCTTCTTTGACAAGTTCAAATGTATTTATTGCCATAAACCAAATGTTGGTTGTTAAACAAGAAACACAATATCCAGATAGAACAGTTTTGTGAGAAAGTTGTCCCTAACACTCACAAGACACAGCAGACAGAATGTCACAGATGCTGTGGAATAAACTTTTGAAGGAATATCAATAAATGATTAGATGTTGGTGATGATACTTTTGCAAGACACCATATTTGTCCACTACTGATTTTGTTGTTCCTGCCTAAAAATGGTAAGTTCCTTTAACCTCAAACCCTGATCCATGTTCATCTCACTCAGTGCCATTTACCTAATGTTTGCTGTACTGCTGCTTTACGGCTTAACTCTTTCTCTTTTTCTCTTTCCATATAAAAATCTCTACTGAACTCTTTGTCACGCGCTATTTAAAAAGCTCAATGTTTCTTTCTCACTTTGGCATCTCTGCTTGTTTTTGCTATCCTCTCTTTTTTCCCCTTGCGCCTCCCCTGCTCTCTTTCTCCATCTGGCTCTTGGGCTGGCTCATTTCTTGCTTCCTCCAATTTGATTGGGTGAGTTGCCTTGCTCTTTAACACGCCAAATTCCCACAGTGCACTGCATTGCAGTGGCGCAGCTCCACTGCACTGTCCCCTCCACCACCAGATGCTGGATGCTGACAAAGATTGTCTGTCTGTGTAAAACAAAAGCAATATGTATAGTGTTTAACATCTAACCTGGCTTAATTCAAGCTACAATGCTAGGATGAAGTCAGCTGAAACCTATTTACTCACATCTATCTCTATCTACTAAATATTTATTTTTAAAGAAAACTTAAAAATAGGTTTGTATGTATTCATGCGTCTTGCTATTTTTTTTTTTTCCACGCACACTATATGGAAATTCTTTGTCATCATCTGAACTCACTATAATCTCGGTGTTTATCGATCATCCCAACTGCTCTGTTGTCATAGAGACGCCTTTCCGTTGTCATAGTAATCACCAGTTATAAGGAGATGTGCTACAGAGTTGTGGTAGAGTGTGAGGATAGCTCACACAGGATGCTAATGTCTGCCTTCATCTCCCATCCTGCCCCTTCCTTTCTTCTGCCCCCCTCCCTGCTGTAGTATTTGATGGGCTAGGCGACATAATGAAGCCCACTGTGACCCCTCAAGCGGGTGACGTTGACACCTCCATGGCTAACATGGCAAGTAGTAAGTAGTCATTTAGGATAAGTGCAGACTCAAAGATGAAACAAAGTAATGAAAAAAATGTGTATATTTAGAGGATGCAGCTGCTATTTCTCCCTCGGGGGGGGAGGGGGTGGGGGGTGGGTTTAAACTTGCAGCACAATAAAAATGAAACTACAGATTATCCTGCACAGTGCTTCACAGGCTTTATTCATTGACTTTCTCAGGACCGTTAGAGAAGCATTGCTGCTCACTGGGCATCTGTTCTAATTTTTACAAGTACAACCTTTGAGGCTCAGAGTAATATAACCGCAATCACTTACATTTTATTTGATCATGAAAAAATGAGGCACAACACATAATTTAACGAACAGAAATTGGACAATGGATCAAAATAAATTGACTTCACACTCTTAGTGAGAAGTCACCATCTATCTATGTCTCACTAAGCTCAGCATGCAGCTGACCCCTTATCAAGATATTGTCATACCTTTTGCAGCAGCTGCTGCTTTATCATGAATCCCAATGTCTATTCCAAACTAATCACATGAATCACATGGATGAATTTGAGCCTTAATCAATTTAAACCCCCGTTTTTTCAAATCAACATATTGCCATTTTGTTGTTGCCGATTTCTGTGTCATATGCGTAAACAAGCCATTTCATTTCCATGTTGTTAAACCATTGTGTATTAGTTTATTTCTGTAGCTATTTTTTCTTTGAGTTATAAACAGTCATAAAAATGATCAAATGTGTTGCTAAACTTGATTTAGTTGTATATTACTAACTAAAGATTTTGCATTACATCTTATTTCTACTGAATGTGGTTGTCACTCCAATTTGTACCAACTCTTGAATAATAGTCCCTCACATAGTAACGTGAGGAACTTCCTGTGGGTTGTAGCTGGGAACCATCTTGTTGGTAGTACACTACTATTTTGCATATCTTTGAACTGCAATATCTTTGCTACTTTTATAGATTCTGTTAATAAAATGTTTCTAGTGCTTTAGTCGCACTTCCTTTTCTCTTGAAATATGTTTCACGTCTCAACCAAAAGGCTTTTTCAGTTCTGCAACATGCCCATGTTCAGAACTAAAAAGGCCTGTTAGATGAGACAAAGGGCATTTAAGGAATAAGAAAACAAGTCAAATTGCTTTCTGTTGAAACCCTTTTGATTGTGATGACCTGATTTAGAGAGAAGTGGTACCAAAGCCAATAAAATAGCTGTCAATTGTGTCTTTGTAATACATAAAACACAACAACATTAAAAAACTCTATGTGCTTGAATGACATAGGTTTAACAAAAATCCTCTCAGCCTTAGACGACAATAGAAAAGTCTGATGAAGTTGCAACAAGACCAGAAGACATTCACTCTAGGTTGTCTGATTTCTCCAGTGGTGCAAATGAAAGCAGTGATTTTGCAGAACCTCTCTCTTTCTGTCTCTCTCCTTCTCCAAGACCTCACAATGGGAACTGCAGCGGCTCCTCAGGTAGCTCCCCCGAGTTGGGGTGCACCCATGGTAAATGTTGTCTGCGTCTAATAGCATGGAGTGGACCCGCATGGCAGATAGGGCGCACCTGTAGCAGCAATCTCAAAGCATTGCCTTCATTTTGTTCTCCAGTACCCAGGCGTTGCTCAGAGGGCTGGCAACGCCTGGGGGATGCAGGGTTACCCGATGGTACACATTTAGAAAAGCAGAGCTGCTAGTTTCACATGCAGCACTACAAATTCAGGAAGGTTTCATTTGAACTTTGGGGGAAAATAACTTTTTAATATGCGTGTACTGGAGAGTGATGAAGAGGCAAATGGTATGACTAAATTAGGAAGCTGTTGCTTGGAAACAACTTCTCATGCTCTAAAATAAATACAACTTAAAGCCTGATTGAGTCACTGAATTCACTTCGTATAGCTCGACTCTTTATTGACACACTTGCTCTTTTGGCAAACATATTCCCTCCATGATACACGTGTCAGTAAAGAGTAGCAGTAAGGGTTTTGTGTTGCGGGCTTATCTTCGTTTCTCGTGTGCTGTGCTGTTTTGTCTGTCTTAAGCCTCACTTTTGTGAAGCATCAAAACATCCTGTAGCCATTTTTGTTATGTGGTGGTTTTGCGGCATCTCTCATTTATGTTATATCGAGTATAGTAACATCCAAACCCTCCATCTCCGTCCCATTCCCTCCACACCTTTAGACCATTCCCATGGGTCCTGCTCCTTATTTGGGGACTTACCCCAGCTTCACCATGGTAAGATAGCCATTCCGTTCCAGTCCAGTAATGTTCCATCTGGGCATTACCGGCTATTGATGGACAATCAGCTACTTAGGTGTCCCTCCCTCCGCCATCAGATGGCAGACATTCTGTGTAATTGTTTGTTTATCCCTCCATTTGTCCATATCTAAGGTACCAGTTGCCGGAGCACCAATGATGCCCATGGCCAGGCCAGGCTTCCCTGCTGCAGGAGTGACCCCGGGGGCACCGGTAATATGGTCCTAATTGAGTTACTAGTTACAAACCTGCAAAGCAAGGGTTAATGCTAAAATCAGACGTGTTTACAGATGTCTCCTGGAATGGCCCAAAGCCCCAGAAAGCCCCCACCACCCAGGAACGCTCTGGATGACCTGAATATCAAGGACTTCATGTAGACTGCCTGACCCATTAACCCCAAGGTAGGCGTGCTCAGTACTTGTATATCAGCTCTTCATAAATGCATGTGCATGTGTAAATAATATTACCTGCAATGCACTAGTGTAACACTCTCCATTATTTACCACATAATAGATCATGTTTCGTGCAGCAGATGAGGCCAGCACTCATGGTAATTTGGGGTTAGTGGAATAGTTTTGCATGAAATCATAACACAAACCTAAATCAGCTACTGTGGAGTGGAAGAGTGAGTTTACTTCTGTACTTATTAATGTTCTTTAGAAAATGTCTGTTTAGAGATGGATGAGATGGAAGTTAAAGTTCTAAATATAAAGGCATAAATCTGAATTCCAGATCAGGTCAAAGCCCAAAACAATTAAAGATGAGTAAGTCTATTTTTTAAAGTGAACTTAAAGTGCATCAGGATAAGTCTTGAATTTACAATACAGAAACTTGAGTAAATCCGGTTCTCTCGTTATGTTACAGTCCTAACTTCCCTTTTCTACCCCCTCTGTAGGTTTGTCATTGTGTCTGGAGATCTGTGGATATGGATGTCTGCAACCCCCTCACCCCACCAGTCCCTTCTTCAGCCAGCCAGCCAGCCATCATCTCTTTGGTCTTTTCCCCTCTAACCCCCCACCAGCCTTGACTCTTGTAACAAACTCTCCCTTCCTATCTAATGTTGTAGCACAACTGTGAATATGAACCCTAGATACAGAAAACCAGAGTTATGTTTCAATGTGTGTGAGTGTGTGTGTATTTCAGTGTTAACCTTTACTTAATATACTATGGAACAATAAATGACCAAAAAAAAAAAAAAAAAAAAAAGCAAAAAAATGGTTTTTTAAAATAATTCAGAAAACCACCGCATTTGGAAGGGGGAA